ATAATAATAATAATAATAATAATAATAATAATAATAATAATAATAATAATAATAATAATAATAATAATAATAATAATAATAATAATAATAATAATAATAAAAATAATAATAATAATAATGCCGGTCCATATTTCCCTTTCTTTTCTTCCCAAAACCGCGTCTGTCCACTCAACGAGATATAGCAGCATCTTGTACCAGCGAAAAACACCCAAAAATACTACCGGGAGCGTCCAGCAAATGTTAGTTATGGGAAATATGTGTAAAAATACCAGAATCTAACAATTGTTATAGATTAGTCGGCTAACTGAACCCAGTAGAATTTTTTAGAAACTCTCTTACCTCAAAAAATTTGGTAAGTGGCAACACTTATTAATTTCGAGACTTATTAAACTAAAATAAATTATTGTGTTTTAGTTTTTAATTACAAAAAGCTTAGTTATATAGGTAACATATAAACATTTTTTACACAGATATCCATAAATCTCCCTTAAAAACTGTTTCACTAAATTAACGATCTTGAATGTAAAGTAGTCACTGCCAACAGTAATTTATGACTACATTAATGAGATTAAAGTAATTACATCATACAGAGAATTGTTTGTTATCGCATTTGTTATAAATTTTACTTTATGGGGTTTTCCATAATTTACTCCAGCTTTACACAAAACAAAATTCTGTGTATATACATTCGTGTGAATAACCACAACTACAATTTCTGTTTATTTAAATGAGAAAATGCACTTAGAAATGTGCCTGCTTCTTTTGTATAAAATTGGGATCAAATGTGTTTGTCCAATCCTTGGATTTTAATTATTAAAATTGACTTCTGGTTGTATAGATGTATAGAAATTTAATAACAGTAATATATTGTATTGTCACCTCGATTGTCAGAGAGAGAATATAGTCGGAGAGCTGGCGGGCAAATTCTGTAAGAGTTTTCTAAAGGCTAATTTTTCTATATACCACCCACTCTCAAAGTTAGGTAGCGCTGCGTTCGGAAGCAGCAAGCTTTGAACTATGTAGAACCAGCACATACACTACAAGAGTTTTCTAATGGTTGAAAATTGGTATTTAACTTCATTTGAATATGTAAATCTAAAAACATAAAAGTTTTGCTATACAGGCTAATAAGGGGAAACGTCCATGCGCTACATGCTAAGAATGTGAAGAGTCAGTGATACCGAATAACATCATACTAGACCAAGCCCGTGTTTATAGTACACAATGTGCTTTTTTTGGCATTGATTACCTACAGTACTGTGCATATTGTTTATAAACAGTAACATTTCTAGTGTGTGATAAACAATAATCAAAATGAACTTGAGTGACACTGAGAATTGGTATAATTACAAAAGTGCATATTTGACAATATAATATAGTATATTTTTGGTAACATACTATATTTTCTTTATTTAGTTTAAAAATCAACCATCCTACTAAAACAATACACTTAAAATACTATGACATTCCCCCTTCTTGTAAGTTACGTAATACATTTGTCTAGCTAAAAGTCATTTATACAAAAAATGGGCAGTCATTTTTGTTAAAAAGTTCTACAATTCAAATCTGAACAACATTTTATTATCAATAATATTTAAAAATTCAGTGGGCGTTACCAGCATAAAAAGTAATGAAATTTTAAAGATTAAAATCACTATACTGAAAATTTGCTTATTTTGACATTCCCCCTTCTTAGCCTGGACCCTTCATATTGATACGCAGGTTTTTGGTATCTCAATTTATTTCTACTTAACTTTTACAATAATTCAACTATAAAACTGATATCATTAACGTCTATCATAAAACTAAATTGTGACGTCAGGATCACCGGCTTATATAGCTTACCTTAACCTTCTAGAACCTTCCCAAAATATCCAGATGTTTCTTGACATGGAATAACATAACATTATTATTCTCCCTTGTTTTTCTTTTACTCGCACCTTTACTTATGATGACCGCAACACACTGTAAGGTGATAGGTCTTTTCCTTTGCATCAAAAGTGTAGCACTGAGCTACACCACTTCTGAAAATATCGTTCCATTTATACAAATTGTATGGATGGAACGATATTTTCAGAAGTGGTGTAGCTCAGTGCTACACTTTCGATACAAAGGAAAAGACCTAATAATAATGATCACACTACTAAAAAATATAAAAATCTGATTAAAATTGTTTAAATATAAAGAACAAACCTATAGAACAAAATAAATTCAATTTTAAAATTAGTCACATTATAGTATGTCAGCAGAAAATAGAATGGTTTTTCAATCAATATATATTTTACAGTTTTCCTAAATATAGATCAGATCATTAAGTATTGAGTCTTTTTCAGTGTTCTAATCACTTGTTCCAAATTAATTCTACCCAGAAAACAAAAATTGGACGTCCATTCGATATACAATTTCGAATATCTGGACGTCCAAAAATAAGTTTTTTCTGGACTTGATATCCAATAGACGTCCAGTGAAGTATACAAATGGCACACTTTTGACCATCCAGTGGACGTCCTTTTCTGGATTATGTTTGGACGTTGAATACTGGACATTCAAAAAACGTTCATACCTGGATTATATTCCATTGATACCATATTACCACACCTTTTTTACACAACCGCAACTCACTACGCGCTATTTTATATTATTGTTAAAACCAGCTATAAACCATTTTTTTTTAATCGCTTGACCTGATCAGGCCTCGAACACACGACATGTCCGTTATTGTTCTACGCTTTCAACCGCTAAAAGATCTCGACCAACGGGCCCCTTGAAAAATGTTTACTATATATGGTTCTAATAGAATAAGATTTCAAACTTCCGCTTATAGAATAAAATGCAATAAATTTAATTTGTCAATTTTTAATGACCAATTATATTTAAAATAAAAAAAAGTGTGTATAGGGTATTTATTATCTGGTAAGCTAAATAAATAAGGACCTAAGATGGACGTCCACTGGACGTCAAAATACCACTTATCTTAAAATTAGTTTCAAAAACAAACGTCCTTCTGGTATCGATATGCAGCTGTCAAGTTAATGATCATAAACGGACGTATACTGGATGTCCGAAAAGGAATATGGACGTTCTGGCCCTCAAATGGATCTAAAATGAACGTCCACTGGTCTTTTGTGTTGTCTTGGTACAATATAGCCGGCTAGATCTTTAAATAAACCAAATATGTCTTGATTTATTCGGATGTATTGATCATAACCTTAGAATCCAAGCATAGCCCTTAACCTCTTTATACATTATTTAATATTGATTATTTTCTACGGTTCAGTTAACAGAATTATTCACGAGTGTTCCTCTCATTCTGTCAACGTCATTTATCAATGACTTTTTAATATGTCTACTACGAGGGTGCTTGTCATCTGTCACACTTGGCGATGTTGATCGATTATCTCCAATAAATTAATTTTATTTGGATTATTGATTTATCACATAATTATCTTATGTAATTATATTTGGGATCAGGTTTAGCTTTTTTTTAATATTTTCTTAATAATCTTAACGTTCAAATGTTTTATTGAAGCTTTCCTGTAGTGGTATTTACTTAACGTAATTTTATATTCGTTTACATAATAATTATCATTAATACTTAACACCTTTTAGGACGCCTATGATGATGACTTTGTTAGTCCGAAAACGCTTAACCTAATTTTATTAAAATTTTATTTTTACACGCTACTGTAGGTACACCTCATATTTAGTGTGTACGCCATTTCTAGTTTTTTAAAAAGAAAAAGCCAGTAAATTGTAAAAACAGTTTATTTCTGATAAAAACATTTAAAATTGGTAATAAAGTAATGCATATTGTTTTTCTTTTCCTATAAATTTAAAATTATTTAGAACAATCACTCTCTTTCACGCATTTATTGGTTGCTGTATCCCTGATTAATTCACCGTCACATCTACATGTAAATCTACACTCCATTGTACACATTTGGAATGGACAATTTGGTTTCGGTTTTTCACAGGTGGGATCGGGACAACAAGGTATACATCCTCGAATTTCATTGTCAGGACATTCTGGTGAAACTGAAATTATAATATTTATTGTTTATTACTAATGGACATTTTTACAAAAATATCATTTTACAATAAAAAAATACAACCTTAAAATAAATTTATGTTTAAAGAGATTTAACTATGTTTAACAATGTTATCTATATTGCGACCAGTTTCAAGGTTTTTCGTTAATTTCATCTTCAGACAATCATAAGAAATTCTATTTCGGTTTAAGCTATCAATAACAAATAAGACCACCTTCATTAATTACGTGAGCCTAAAATGGGGGAGAGCAGAGGCACAGCAAAATCTTATCAAATCTCATGTAAAGAGAGGATGCCAATGAGAAAGTCACGTCAACCTTTTAATTCAGAGACTATACATTGTTATGTGAAAAGAGCTGTAAATAAAAAATAAAACAACAATTTTTTATTAAATAATTTGCAAAAATCCTTTTATTAAATCAGAAGTCGGGGTTCACGCTTCTACAATCAAAGCCGCAAGGTTCCAAAATCCACAAAACAAATACAACACAAAGATAATGTGATGTTTGTTTATTTTTAAAACAACAGTTTATTTATTAATAATTTATTTAAACACTTATTTATTTTATAACACTACTATTTCTAATTTATATATATTTCTGTCTTTGAATCGTTCAGCTGTCTATATATCACTGATTACTATTTATCTTCACTGTCCATATAATATTGACTCTGATGGCTCTCCTCCACCAATTTATATACAAATTGGTGGTCTAGAATGCTCCCCCACCAAAATTGCCAGAAGGTACCAGAAACGTTATCACGTTATATTTAGACTAGAAATAGTATCTCGTTGACTCTGGAATGTTCGCGAAAGTGTCTCCACCATAGTCGTCCCATAGGTTTGGTCTTAAGAAGTTTAATTATGTATAATAAGCGGACAAGTTGAGCCTCAAAGGCCAAATAATACAGAGAGGGACTTGGAGTATTAGAGCATGACTGAATATTGAAATGGCTCACATTACAATAACAAACTTAGACTAATTCGCTAAAATAAAATAAATCCAGTCCCGAATAGGTAGCTGTTTTGTCAATAAAAAGTTCAATACACTAAAAGTTAATGATCAATTCGTTTTATATTTATTGAAGTCAAAGTAGGTAGCCTCTAAAAGAATACTTTGCTGTAAGTACTGACTGCTAAATCCCTCGTCGGCATATGCTTTTAATATAAATAAGTAGGTAATTTTAGTCTCACCAGACATGAAGTACACGTGGAAAATTCTCCTTAGCCGGTGGCCTCTCAATCACCTTACACAACACCACCTTTAGGAATATTTGGCGTTGTCATAGCAAGCGGCTTGCTAACCTGGTTGATGTCTCAGCACCCTCAGCAAAGACTGACCGTGTCTACGTGACTTACTGCCTTTTGTGTCTATCACTGTCGTTAAGGGCAAGTTCAACCCGTTGTCAATGACAAGTGACGGCGACTTTTTTATCACAAGAAATACAGCTCTAAACGATAATATTTTCAAAAACTGTTTTCATAAATGGGTTCAAAAAACTGTAAAGAATGGTGGAAAGTCTATGGTTTGTTTTACTTTTAATGCATAATATTTTAATAAGTGATATTTAACAAATATTTAAAAGTTATGGACTTTCCATCATTTTTTATAGTATTTAAAAGTTAAAACGCAAAATATATTCTTTTATTTTTGCCTAGTTATTTCAGGAATCTTGTGATAAGATTTAAAAATGTAGGGCCCATAAGATGCTGGCAGCATCTGAACAGACGGAATAGACACTAAAGTGAAAAATTGCAACATCGCTCCCTATGCAGACGAATGTAAAATGGCTTAGCCCAATTTGACCATGCTCCACGATTAGGGGCGAGGTGTTGTGCGGGGAAAGGTTTAAAGTAAATAAATTATTCTATAAATGATATTTTCTGTTTGGGACATAACGCAAGTATGTTTGTTTTGAAAGTTTGACGTATATGGTTTGACGTGTCATTTCAATTTAATGGACAGTGCTGTTCCTAAAGTGGCGCTGGGAAACAGTAACAAAGCCAATACAGAACACGAGGCTAATAACCTTAGCAGTTGATGCCGATGACACCAAATTAAAAAAAAATTAGTAAAAAATGTAATAATACAACAATTATTATAATCAAATTCTAAATAGGAAATATAGTTTAACTGCAATTGTTTTGATAACAGTATTTGCATATGTTCTGTGAATTTCTTCTGTTTCTAAATAAGTATCCTTAAATATTTGAATGTTTCTACTAACTGTATAGAATTTCTTCCAATTTCCTATATTCTTTATCCACAAACTGCATATAGTTATTACTTATCAGCATATATTTTGGTTTAGGTATTTGTGTTGATTTTTAACAAATGATTGCAACACCACTTATAGACTTGCGGAGTTTCATTGACAATTAACTCTTACTAAGTTATCTGAATCCTTACAACTTACAAGAAACGTAGATAAGGACATCGTAGGCAAACAGGTAAATGTCATATTGATTATTGTGACATCAACAATCATTAATATAAATTAAAAATAACAGGGGACCTAATTTTCTTCCTTTGATGTGGTTAATTTCTTCTTAATTTCTTCAGGACAGCGATTCTTTTGTGCGAACTCAACACATTACATACAGAATACAGAGTGACATTACATTAAAATCGCTGTCTGTCGAACGAAGATAGGAGTCTCGACAGGAGAGTACTGAAAGATGAGAATCCTACTGTATAATAATATGTTATTTAATTTTAACCTCTCTGACCTGCTACTTAGATAATCTACATGCTACTCCAATTCATGCTTTATAGCATAGATATAAAAAACAACCTTTATACCCATACTTACTTTTTTATCGAATGGTTTTAATCAACAGAATTAAACGCATTTTAAAGAAATACAATTCATTATTAATTGTACATATGGCGGGTTGTACAATAGGCAGTTAAAATGTAGACTAAGTTTATACTGTGAACCTTGTTGTATACTCATCGGTTATTGTTAAACATAGTTTTAAAAATGACATTTGTTTTGAATATAACTAGTTAAAAATAAAACTCTTGTTAGTTAAAATGAGTTTAGAATATTTTTTGTACAACCTGCCCATAATGTATTTTGTAATAACTATAAATCTATATAGGTAACTATTATTTTGATTTTTTGAACTCTGTTTTATTATATTTTTAGTTGTAAACAAGAATCTGATGAGTACCTACATTGTATAGATTTAAATATACAAAGGGTCCTGTAAATATACCAACAAACTTTTAGGGGTGGTAGAGGGGACATCAAAATAAACTTTTTTGCTTAATAAATATGTGTTTCAAAAACGAAGCATTTTCGGACATTATTATGTTCAGATGTAGACGATTAGAAAGGTCAAATTGACGTAATATATACAGACTTCTCAAAGGCTTTTGATCGACTGGATCATAATATTCTTGTAAGGAAGTTGGAAAGCTTAGGGTTTGATCAGCCGCTGTTAAGATTATTTTCTTCTTACCTAAATCATCGTTTTAATTATGTCTTTTACAACGGATTTTCATCCTCACCCTTCACAGCAACATCTGGAGTTCCACAGAGCTCCAATCTTGGGCCACTATTATTTAGTATATTTATAAATGACTTGGAAATAAACTTAACATGCAATCAGCTGCTATTCGCTGCTGACTTAAAAATATTTACCTTAATCTTATCAATTCAAGACTGCCACTTTTTACAGACCCAACTGGGCATCGTTGAAAATTGGTGTAATGAAAACAAGCTGTTTATGACAGTGTCTAAATGTAAAGTATGTTCATATACTAGAAGTATTAACAAGGTGGAGTTTGATTATTTATTTAACGGCCTACCTTTATCGACTTGTGCACAAATTTAAGATTTAGGTATATTATTCAACCAAAAAGTCGATTATATTGATAATACCGTTGCTTCTGCACTTCTGCGTTGAAAAGCTTAGGGTTCTTAATCTGTAATACTCGTTCTTTTACAAACTCTCAAAGCTTGGAGATCCTTTACTTTTCTTTAGTTTGTTGCAAGCTAGAATATAAATCTCTTATCTGGAACCTTATTTACAATATTCATAAAAGATCATTGGAAAATGTTCAGCGGCGATTTCTCAAGTACCTTTCTTTTAAAATAGATGGGCTGTATCCCATTCGAGGTATTGAACAATCTCTGCTTCTTTAGAGGTTCAGCATACCATCTTTGGAAAATAGAAGGTAGTTTCCATCGTGACATTTCTTTATAAAATATTACATAACACTATTGATGTACCATTTTTCATAATCAAATAAATTATAATATTCCCCAAACAGCCATTAGATATCATAAAACATTTTTTATAGAGCAAGTATTTGAACGAACTTGGGAAGAAATTCGCCTATAACGCTAATGTGCTCAAATTTTAATTAAATTTGTTCTGATTGGGATATTTATTTCGACCATTAATTGTACTAATTTGTAGCTAATGTATTTAGGATTATTTCTTTTCTTTTTTTTTCTTGCTGTTGCGAAAATTATTTTCTGTCGAAATATTTTATTTGACATTTATTTCATGTATTTTGTCCTGTAAAAGGATTAATCTGTTGGGCAATAACATTATTTTTATTTTATTAAGCAAAAAATGGTTATTTTGATGCACCTACCGCCTTTAAAAGTTTGTCAGTATATTAAGGAGAAATCCTATATAATTCCCAAAGAAAAATGTTTTTGGAATAAATTACAAATTATATTTATTGATATTTGTTATCTTTTAGGTTCAATAACTCGAAACATGATGATCAACTACACCAATAATATCCTTGATACTGAAAAAAAAAATGGTATGAGATTAAGCAGATTTGATTCTACGTCACATTGTAGTGCGAAGACGGGGCTTGTATGAATTTGGGATATCAGTTGATCGAAAACAGTGCGCAGAAATAAATTTAAATCTGCATAGGCATCATAGATGTCATCGGCCAAGTATCATTCCTCGGTCATGTTTTGTATCATTAGAAACATCAACATTGTAAACAA